ATGCCTTATCCATTGGGCCACGGGGCCGCACCTGCAAAACATATCAACGAAACAATTATAACTATACATAGTCAGATCCACATCAGTCCTGATTATCTTGGTAGTTGGATCGGGCACACGGCGTCAGTCGTCTTAGAGATAAAATTAAGCAATTTTAGGAATTTGAAATTTAGAATTTCGGCATGTCCTTCCAGAGGTCAAAAATCGTTCAACCAAGCCATTTTTAAAAGACTTCTGGTATCTTTTGGGGATATCTTTGAAATTTCCGACGAGCAGATCCAATGGCACGAAATTGTTTTATCGTGCTGGTGTGGTGATAAAACACAGTTATCACGCATGTTATAACGCTCAACGCAAAAAAATATATCTGGCTTGCAAAGGCCTAACGTTCTTCAAGCAAAACGTGTAGCTCAGCTAGTAAAAAGTTCATTTTCCGCCCAATGTGGGGCTCGAACCCACGACCCTGGGATTAAGAGTCCCATGCTCTACCGACTGAGCTAACCGGGCATTTGTTCATGTAATTTTTATTATACAAAGACCTACTCCTGTACTTTGTTTCCAGTGGTTCTTTAGTTCGTACGCAAAAAAAACAACAACAAAAAAAAAACTTGTCATCGCTTATCACCAGCGCCAGTACAGCAGTGGCGCAGCTCAACGGGGTCGAACTGAAAGCATGTGCATTTGAAGAGTACAAAGACAGAACTCATGCGATCTTTAATCTAGTGCACATCCAACAGGTTTTGTTTTATTGGTAAATCAGTCATCACTCCCTTGSTACTCTTTCTAACCTTCATGTTGGCTCATGTGGACTGACAAAGAACATTACTTGGTAATTCTTGTGTTGTTCAACGAACGTGACGGACATGGCGACCAACATGCCTACTGCACGAGAGGTCCTTTTCCCCCCAAATTAAAACCGTTCGTCTGGAGATGACGTGTTCGATAAGCTCCATATTTAGTTTGCTTCGAACATGACTTCACCTGACGCGCTTATTCTAATTATAACGTCACAAAGAACGACCAACTCCATATATAGTCGGGATTTCGAAGATGACGTCACCTCGAGCGCTCATTCTAATCATTACGTCACTATATTTGACTTAAAATAAAAAATGATAATTGATGAATAACCCAGGTTCGAATGCTGGTCACGGCAATAGTTTTCTTTTATTCTACTATCACCTGTCGTGGTGGTGTTGAGCCGTGATCGTCTAGAGGTT